GTCACCCACTCTCGCCCCCTACACCCCCTCCCTGTCTCTGCCACCTCCTCCAGCCCCTGAACCCCCTCCCTATCTCTGTCACCCCCTCCAGCCCCCTCCCGACCTCTGTCACCTCCTCCATGCCCTACATCCCCTCGCTATCTCTGTCACCTCCTCCAGCCCCCTACACCCCCTCCCTATCTCTGTCCCCTCCTCCAGCCCCCTACACCCCCATCCTATCTCTGTCACCTCCCCCAGCCCCCTACACCCCCTCCCTATCTCTGTCACCCACTGCAGCCCCCTACACCCCCTCCCTATCTCTGTCACCTTCTCCATCCCCCTCCCTATCTCTGTCCCCTCCTCCAGCCCCCTACACCCCCCTCCCTATCTCTGTCACCCCTTCTAGCCCCCTCCCTATCTCTGTCACCCCCTACGAGGCTCCCTCCACAGTCTCGGAGGGCCAGTGCGAGGTTGTGTTTCTGGGGATGTTGGGGTGGGAAGTTGCTTCCCCCTGCTGGCATCGACCGAGCTCGCCCTCCCTGGCGACGCACTTGGGACTGGTTCAGCAATTTGGGCCTACGAGACCATCTCAGGGTGATGGGCCCCGTCTGAGACCGGCTGGGGGTGGGTGGTGGTGTGGGGTTGGTTTTCGAATGGGGCCTATGAGTCCTCTCTGAGGACAGGCTGCTGTGACCTCTGACCTTCTGTGTTTTAGGAGAGAGGGCGTACGAGAAACTAGGCCTCAAGGCCTTTGGCCAACCAGGGAAGGTCGTTGCTGCAGTCATTATATCGCTACACAACATTGGAGGTGAGATGGTGGGGTTGCGTCGGCTGTGAGTGGGCTACCATTCCCTTCGATTACTCCCTCTCTGTGCCCCTTCGCCTACAAAAGTGTGGGCCCCTCCAACCTGCTTCCTCCGGTGATGGGCATGCGTTGGCGCTGGGAGGGGAGGGACGGTTTCTGCAATGGGATGGGGCTCTCCAAGTATCGGGGAATGCTTTGTGCCCATAGAGGGAGAGATGATTACAGCTGGCACACTCGGGCTTGGGTTGGCTCAGTGGGGGTTGAAAGGCCTCCTGTTCCTGTGTAACAGGCTCGAGGAGGAGGGGGGCTGAATGGCCTCCTGTTCCTGTGTAACAGGTTTGAGGAGGGGGCTGAATGGCGTCCTGTTCCTGTGTAACAGGCTCAGGGAGGAGAGAGGGTGGGTAACAATTGAGTGTGAATAACCCTCCTGAGGGTTCCCCAGAAATGTGGCCCCCTCCTCTTCGCTGAAGCTGTGCGATTGGCGCTGGGGTGGGGGGTGGGGTGGTTTATCCTGTAACGACAGGGGACATTATTCAGCCTGTCGTTTCTCATACTGTCCCTCTCTCTTTGTTCCACAGCGATGTCCAGCTATCTGTACATTGTGAAATATGAGCTGCCTCTCGTCATTCAGGCATTTCTCCGAATGGAAGAAAACAATAGGTAGGTCGTGTCTCTCTCTCTCTCCCGTTTTATTCTGCTTTCTATCCCGGGACAGACCCCCCTTCAGTGGGAGTCGCTCCGTCCTCCCCTTCTGTCCCAGTGTGTACAAAAAGATCTCCAACTCCCTCTTGCCCTGAGGCACATGGAGCATGGCATGCTGCTACTCGAACCCTCTTCTGTCAACCTTGCGTTGGCCTGGACGCTTATGTACCCGTGCAGTGTGTGTGTGCTCGTGCCTGTCGCATCCTTCAATACCACTACCCCCCCTCCACCCCCCCCCCATCCCCTCCATGCCCCCCCCCCCCCCCCCCCCCCCCCCCCCCCCAGACCACATGCCTACCCACACTTCCCCCTCACCCCCACCACAGCCCCTTGCTTACGTTATGAGGGACAACTTGGGTGTTGCTGCATTGGGCAATAGTCTGTTACCCCCTCCAGCCCACTATAGTCTTGACTCTCCCACAACTGTCTAGACTATCCCTCAGCAGCCTAGACTCTCCCACCATAGTCTAGACTCTCCCTCAGCAGTCTAGACCCTCCCACAACTATGTGTCTAGGCTCTCCCACCATGGTCTAGGCTCTCCCACCATGGTCTAGGCTCACCACCATTTTCTAGACTCCCCCACAACAGTCCAGACGCCCCCAATAATGTCTAGATTATTCCGCAATGGGTCTAGAAACTCCCAGACTGGTCTAGATTTTTCCTCGAGGTGGCCCAGACTCTCCTGAGGTGCCAAGCCGGAAGATGAGACACAAGGAGCATCTGGTGAGTATCAATCAGCCAGAAATTGACACAGAGGTGGTAGGAACAGGTGTCTGAAGCGATGCCAATGCAGAGGAATTCCAAGGAAAATCTTAAAGGAGGAGAGAGAGAGAGAAGGAGATGGTGGAGATGGGACAGAGAGAGAGAGAAACAACGAGAGAGGCAGGGAGAGAGAAGGAGGGAGGATGATGGAAGAAGTCCGCAAGGTTGGAGCAACAGGAATTGGGGACATTTGGAGTGGCCAGCATTGGAGGAGCACAGATATCTCGGAGGGTCGTAGGAGGTGACAGAGATAGAGACGGGGTGTAGGGGGCTGGAGGGGGTGACAGAGATAGGGAGGGGGTG